TATTGACAAAATAAAAATTAAAAAAAAAAAAAAAAAAAAAGAAAGGACTGATTAAAATGACTGCAAAAATTTTAAATTTCTATAAGGCATTCAAATATAAACACAAACACACTACAAGTAAAGTTAAACAGTAAATTAAGACACAATACTTATAACACAACTTCCCTAATATACAAAAAGCTCATATAAATCAGTAAGAACAACAAAAAATATGAACAGATTCTTCTTGTTCACAGAAAAAGAAATATAAGTGGACAGCAAATTCAGAGAAATAAGTTCAACTTCATGCAAAATTTTAAAAAATACTAATTAACCAGCAATAATAGTATCTTTACTTGTCAGATTGGCAAAGATTAAAATTACTCATAATACCCAGGTCAGTAATGGTATGGAGTAATAATATAGGAAAATAGGCACTCTCCTAAAGAGTTGGTAGAAAAATAATTAATTCAGTGCTTTAAGAAGCATAATTTGGCATTAATTCTGTTAGTATTTCCTTTTGACCTAGCAGTTTCATTAGATTTTACCACACAAATATATTCACAAAAATACAGTGAGAGAGAAACTTGGTTATAGTCCCCTATTGGTGGTCATGTAGATTGTTTCCTGATTTTTGTTTTTGTTTTTGTTTTCTTCTCAAAACACCACTACCAGTCCTGCCACCTGTTCACCATTTCCTGTCTTCTCTAGGAACTGTGCTTCTCTCCTAAGTCTTCAGCTCTACCTCTCTACTGGCTCCAATCCATCAGCATTTAAATATGTTCAAATACTTCCCATCTCAAAAAAGAAAAACAAAAAGAGGATGACCCCACCTCCCCACTAAAAACCCTCCCGACTTTGCACTGCCAGTTGTTACTGGACTCTATCTTATCCACAGAGAAACTTCTTGAAAGACTTTGTGGTTGCCATTTCCTCTCTTCTTACTGCTCAACCCATTGCAGGATGGCTGCTGACCTCCCTCTCTTATTACCTCAATCCGCTGCTTTTGCTAAAGGCTACCAGCGACCTCCAGTTGCTCCTTCTTAGTTCTTATCATGGTTTACAGCTCAGCAGCATTCAATGTGGGTTGATCACTCCCTCAAATACTTTCTTCTCTCCTAGGTGACCCTGAATTCACATAGTAATGTGTCATGCCCATCTTTTTATTTATTTATTTTTTACTTCAAAGTGTTGTTGAGGACTGCCCATCTTTCTTGAAGCTCTTTCTCACTCCACACTGTGGGCTTTCTTCCTCTTCTTGCCTTGAAAATTCTGGTATTCCTCAGGGTTCTGTTCATTTTCTTTCAGTATTCTTCCTACATGACTTCCAAAATTTAATAGCTCCAGCCCAGATCTCTCTTTGAGCTCTAGACTTAAATATCCAACTATAAATTTGACATCTATATTCAAATCTCTCATTTGCCTAACAGTATCCTTCAGATCTCAAACTGAAGATCACTTGCTCAGGGAAGTCCTCCTTAACTACCTGGTCCAGGTTAGGTCCACTTAGCATATGTTCTTATATCATCTTGTGCTTCTTCTTTTGAAGCAGTCATCAATTTATTATTATCTCATTCATACTTTTGGGGATAGAACATTAAATAAAACAAAACCCCTGCAATTATAGAGATTAAAGTTTCATATAGAAATATTTTGAAGTACTAGGGACAGACTTTCTGAAAGTATAAAGAACCAATAATATCAGGTACCATGCACTGTGGTCATAACTTTTGCAGTCTAAGGTCTGACAGCAAAACCAGCATGACTTTCCATTTCCTTCTTATAATTTCACAGTTCTTATGAACAAATGTTAGAAACAATGTTAGGAACGTTAGCATACTATTTTTCTCTCTTAATACTTCTTTATTGAAATATATTGATTATACATATTTATGGGGTACAGAATTATATTTCAATACATGTACACAATGTATGATGAGCAAATCAGGGTAATTAGCATATTCATCACTGCAAAACTTAATCATTTCTTTGTGTACATATTTATGGGGTACAGAATTATATTTCAATACATGTACACAATATATGATGAGCAAATCAGGGTAATTAGCATATTCATCACTGCAAAACTTAATCATTTCTTTGTGATGTGGACATTTGATCTCCTCTCTTAGCCATCTGATAACATGCAGTAAATTATTGTTAATTATAGATGCTTAGCTCAACTGTACATCAATATGATTTTTTTCTTTCCTTATTAAGTAAAAAAACTTTCACCTTTTCACTTAAAGTAAGCACTTCACAGCTTCTTTTGGCATAACTGAATTGTTAGCATCACTACTCTTGTGCTTTGGGGTCATTATTAAGTAAAATAAAGTTCACTGAACACAAGCACTTTGATACCATGACAGTCAATCTGATAACTGAGACAGCTACTAAGTGACTAATGGGCAGGTGGCACACATAATGTGGATATGCAGAACGAAGGGATGATTCACATCCTGGGCAGAACAAAGTGGGATGGTGAAAGATTTCACCAGGCTACTCAGAACATCATGCAATTTAAAACTTATGAATTGTTTTATTTCTGGAGTTTTCCATTTAATGTATTTGGACCATGGTTGACTGTGGGTAACTGAAACTGTAGAAAGCAAAACCACAGATAAGGGGGGACTACTGTACAGCTGAATCTTTATATTCATTCTGATAAGCTCTGCCTTTTAATTACAGTGATTAGTCCAGTAACATTTAATGTAATTATTGACATAGATGTATTTATGTCTACCATTTTATTATTTGTTTCCTGTCTGTTCTCTGTGGTTTTTTTTGTTCCTTTCTTCCTCTTTTCCCACTTTCTTTCAGACTATATAAATATTTTTTAGGGGCCGGCCCGGTGGCGCACTGGATAGTGCGCCGCTTGGGAAGCGCGGCGGTGCTCTCCCGTCCGAGGGTTCGGATCCCACATACAGACCGGCTCCCGCTCACTGGCTGAGCGAGGCGCGGGAGCAACGCCGGGGCTTGCGATCCCGTTGCCGGTCCCCGGTCCGGTGCGGGGGCAACACTGAGGGTTGCGATCCGTTGCCGGACACGGAAAAAAGGACAAAAGACAAAAAAATATATATATATATATATTTTTTAGGATTCCTTTTTAATCGATATATTGTATTTTACCTATTTGTCTTTGCATTCTTTTCTAAATGATTGCTCTAGGAATTAAAATAAATATCTGTGGTAGCCTTTCTACAAAACGTCCTCTCCCCCATAATTCTCACTAGAAAAAAATCCTATATTCTTAGGAAATTATCATCTAAAGATAAAACCTAGAATGTAAATTTAAAATCCCTTGCTAAGACCTCAAAAGAATCCTGGGTGATGCCTCAGAACCATTCAGTCAAACTACAGAGCTAGTAAGAAGCTTAAGGATATTGTCTCTCGGCAGAAGCTCAAAAAAGAAGAAAAAAGTTTACCTCAAAAATATGTGTAGTTGTGACTTTTCCCTAATGAAATGAACCTTGATAAGATTCATGTGAGACCCACAAAGTTTTTAAGAAAATTGTATTTGGGGCCGGCCCCGTGGTGCGCTAGGGAGAGTGCGGCACTGGGAGCACAGTGATGTTCCCACTGCGGGTTTGGATCCTATATAGCAATGGCCAGTGCGCTCACTGGCTGAGTGCAGTGCGGGTGACACCACACCAAGGGTTGTGATTCCCTTACCGGTCACGAAAAAGACAAAAAAAAAAAAAAAAAAAAAAAAAAAAAAAAAAAAAAGAAAGAAAGAAAGAAAGAAAAGAAAATTGTATTTGTATAATCACAGTGAGCTTGGATTGAAATGGACAGAGACAATAAAAAATGAAAAATGAGCTTGTGGATACCCAAACTTCTACAGGACAGAAGCAGGCTGAGAAAAATAGCAGTTGCAAATACAAGCCATCTTTTGTAAAAAAAAAAAAAAGAATGACTTAGAGAAGGGAAGAAAGAGAATAGAGGATGGAGCCAAGAGCCACTGAGAATCATTCCCAGGCAGAAAGATGACTGAGTCCTAATCAAGGAATTTCCATTATTTGCCTGGCTCGATTTCAGAAGTGCTATGGAGCAATGACTCCAGTGTTTCTCCTGTTTTTCCCCTTTCTTAAACAGAAGTGCCTCTAGTGATTATCCTATGCCTATTCATCATAGTATATTGGGCATACAGTCTGAGGCCTTCAGATCAAGAGGAAATGTACTCTAGGAATTATAGAAGGAACTACAATCAATGGCCTCATCTGCAACTGAACATGATTTAGAAGACATACTGGACTTTAAGCTAATGCTATTATAAAATATCTGCAGTTTGAAAACTAAATTATCCTTGACTTTCCCTATTTCCATCCACATTTATCAGTGACAAAGTCCTGTCATTCTTCCTGAATTCACTGCCTTTTCTTTTTGGCAACTGCTTTTAATTCAGGATCTTATCAAAGATTTCAATAATCTACATACTAGTGTTCTTGAAGTAAAACTCTCCCCATCCCACTGTGTAAACTGATTTCCTAGCTTATACTTAAGTGATGGTAAAATGAGGAACACAGCACCAGTCCTAATCCCTATTGTAGCTTCCATCACACTGTATTATAAACACCTGCTTATATATTTGCTTCCTCCACTTTTTTAGTTTTATATCCCTAGGATCTAGAATATTGTCTATCACATAACAGATATTTGCTTATTGAATAAATGACCAAATGATCACGTCACATGTACTTCTAAAGAATTTGAGACTGCTCACAATAAAAGATTCATATCCATTAGGAAATTTAAGATCAAAGTAAAAGAATAGCTATGCATTAACCCAATTTGTTTATAAAAAAGTTAAATTTCTGAGAAATTCATTTATCCAAAACAAGTTCTTTTCATTAATGTCAGACAAATGAGGTGGTAGTTTGTATTCATACCCGTTTTCAAAATGTTTGCCTGGTTTTTTAAGTCGGATATTTCAATCTTGACATTTTCTTTCATCAAAAGCTCTCTTTTCTTTGTTATTTCATACTCATTATTGAAGTCTGTAATTTCCTTAATAAATTTTTCCTCCTCCTCTGTCATTTTTTTCTTTGTAGCATCCTGAAAACAGAATTAAAAGATCAAATATAGGTGTTAGTTACAATAATATTTTTCTTTAATGATTTAAAATACAATCATCTGAAATTATTACCAACAAAAGTATAAAATTATACTTCCAGGTGTTACCACAAAATGCTTTATTCCTCTAGTAATATTAATAAAAAACTGAGGCTATTACATAATAACAACCCACTATCTTCAGATGAAAGATTTATCCTTAAAGTTTTGGAAGAATTATTGAGGTAGAAATTCTACCATTCATCATTACACCTGTATTTATTTGTGTATTAAACTTCATAATCACATCTGCCATTTTGTCATTACAATATAAAATTGGATGATAAAATAATTAAATGACCAAACTTGAAAAATAAAATCTACACCCAAAGAAATTAAAGAAAAAGAAAAACAAACAAATGAGGATATCTAAGGAAACGTTTTAAAATGTAAATGATGAAGGCAAAATTATGTATTCATTTCAAGATCAATTCTAAGTCACAGTTTACATTTTATGAAATATCAACATGGCATGGAAATAAGAATTTCCAAAAACTTTGGACAATGACTAAACTTTTTGACAATGCTAGAACCTAAACATTATTGTATTTTTCTATTTGTTCTAAAAGATATCAACTAACTATGAGCCACATTCAGAAACTGGCCATGTTATTCAAAACCACCAAGACTGTTGGCTCTGACTTTTGATAGCTGCAAGTGTATTTTCTTTAAAATGTCAATTAATCACAAGTCATATTTCTAAATTGGCCCTGTTATTCAAAACAATTGCTTATTCTGTTGGCTCTGACTTAAGATAAAATAAAAAATAAATAAAAATAAAAAAATCCATCCTTTTACCCACATCCATAAATATGCCAAAAGTGTGAACCTGTCTGCCTCTCAAAAGCATTAAAACCAAGGTCTCAAAGCCTGAGCAATTCAAATCAGTTTCATTGTTTCTTTTATGCTTATTACAATTACAAATAATTTCTACTGCATCTCTGGCAATAGATTTCTTTCAAACTATATTACTATATCAGTTGGTTTTAAACAGTACTTAATACTTTTCCATATGTGAACAGTACTATCTCCCAATATGCAGATAGATAATTTTCAAAAAGTACACCGAAGCATGTTTAAGTATTTTTTGACACAATTAGTAAAATCGATTTTTCTAGGTGGCTGGAGACTTACAAAGGTTTGGAGAAGCATATTCCTTTGGTTTGTAATTTCACTGTACTGTCTTTCTAAAGCATTTTCATATGTTTTTAAAAGCTGTAAGAGGAAGGATTTTTCAGAAAACTGCTGAGCCTTCAAAGTAAAAAAACAGAAGTCAGAATGAAACAACTAATTACGCATATTAGTTAACAGAACAGATTTGTATACAATATTTTCTGTATTATTTAAAATGCAAAATAAAATCCAAATTAAACATCTTATTTTATATGCACTATTTTGCATTATTTTAAAAGTGCTTTATAATTACAATTTTATAATCTCTTCTCCAATAAGACTATAGGCTCCTCAAGGGGAGAGGATGTGTTTTCCTTTTCCTCTCCACACCTAGCACAGTTCTTAGCATAAGTATTAAAGCTTTTTGACTACACACATTGCTTCAAGACAGCTTGTTTTAAAGAACACAACTTATAAGGAAGATATGGATGAATAAATCATGTATACAATATGACATATAAATTAATTAGATTAAATCTGCAAAGCACAATCAAAAACCCAGTCCCAAGACTACGGTTATATCAAATAAAATACAAATCTGCTAATATCCTTAAATGGGCTTTGAGAACTTATTTTTTATTTTAGTATCTCATTTGGTTCTAAGTAGCAAAAGATATAATAAAGATTAATATTAGACATGTAACTGTTATTTTATTGGACCTTAAAGAGTAGCATCTTCTGAGACATGGATATTGAAATGAAAGTCAGGGAGTTTTAACAATAAACACTAAAGTTTATTAATATTAGACATGTAACTGTTATTTTATTGGACCTTAAAGAGTAGGATCTTCTGAGACATGGATATTGAAATGAAAGTCAGGGAGTTTTAACAATAAACACTAAAGTTGATGCTGGACTGGAAATAATCTTTCTACTGCATTCAGTACTGGCCCTCATAAGAAAGCATCACTTCCAGTTTGGGGCTGTTCTCATCTTTACAGAGAAAAGAATAACGATATAAATTCAACTTAAACTGCAGAAAGCAAGATTTATGTTAGTTATAAGAACTTTCTCAAGGTGACAGACAGGTTGTGAAATCTCTGTCCCAGAAGATATTGAATAGCAAAGAGTTTAGCAATAGTAGAGTGCAGAGGCAAAGGGTTGGCTTAAAAGACATTTTGAAATATTATAGCTAAAAAGTGCTAGAAATATTGGCATTAAAAAAGTAGCTGAGGGCCGGCCCGGTGGCGCACTGGAGAGTGTGCCGCTTGAGAGGGTGGCGGTGCTCCCACTGAGGGTTCGGATCCCATGTGGAGACCGGTTCCCACTCACTGGCTGAGCACAGTGCGGACGCAAAACCGAGGGTTGTGATCCCGTTGCCAGTCCCCGGTACGGGCGCAACACCGAGGGTTGCGATCCCATTACCGGTCAGTAAATAAGATAAAAAGGAAAAAAAAAAAAGTAGCTGAAATAAAACAGAAAATATGATCTTACATAAGTGTAAGATCATAGCACATCTGCCCACACCTTCAGTGCTTGGTACTGTTCTCATCAACTCTATTTTTAAAAAGACATCAATAGAAAAAGATTAGAGAATACAATTTACATGACCAAAGGAATTGAGATAATACTTTAAACACTGGGGGAAGGGGGAATGGGACAGTTAGTATATTACTGTCTGAGAAGACAGAATTAGAAAACATATGGCCAAATCTATAAAATCATATGGAAATTGACAAGGGCAAACAAGTATGACCATGACATCATAACATTAATGTGGAAATATCAGAACTATTTCAAAATAATAAAAAGGTGATGCTGGACCTAAAAGAGGACTTCAGTCTCTTATAAAAATATAAGTTAAATGTATATAAGTTTGAGAAACATTTAAAAAATTATTAAATACTGGTTTATCTGAACTTATTGAAAAGGTTGCTTGCCTAACTATCAGAGTTCCTATTGCAGACAGTAACCATGAATGCCCACAAAAAAGCTTTAGAGACCAAATATTAGGCGGGGTAAACTTTGGTTTAATCTACTAAGGTATTTTAAGTATTATGTCCTTCAGAATCAAAATTCCTAACTCTAATTCTGTTTCTGCCACTGATCTGTTCTAAAAGATCTGAATCAAAACCCCCAAATAAAGAGACTATTACTTATCAAACTAATGAATTTTTAATGAGAGCTAAGCAGATTTATTACTCAAATTCAGAAAAACCTGATGTTAAGAGCTCAGAAATTAAGCTGCTCTGTTTCAGATATCAGCAAAGAGCTAAAATTACTGAACTCAAGTCCTCTTTTGTAAAAAGGACAATAACAAATATTAAAGAGAACAACGTGACATAATGACACTTAACTGGAATATTTTACCATAATCTAAAAAAATGAAACCTATAAAAATAAAACCTATATGCCAAAAACTAAAATGTCCGAAAGATTTATAAAAAGGGTATATCTGTAATTTTCCTTTTCCCTAAAACTTTATGTAAATTGTTCATTTTGAGGTTTTCTATGCTTGTTTTTACTTCTATTATTAATCTCTCTCCTCTTCATCCCCACTTTCTGTCTTACCTTCTGTTTTTATCTTACTTCCACATTTGCCTCTTGTTAATCAAGACCTAAAAAGTCCCAGAGAGTCAATAACTACATAAAGATTACAGTAATATTAATTTTTAAATTTACTTAGAATCTATGATGAAAACATTTAATACAAAAAGGGGAAATAACATAATAGAGAAAATGGCAAGAGTTTAGGAAAGCCAAAGTCAGGAAAGACAAGTAAGAATAAACATCTGCAGTACATTGATTCACATTGCTGAGGACATCAATAGGTTAACGTTGCAGAAGCAAGAGGAGGCCTGATATTATTAATATAGAACCTTCACATTTTAATGGAACTAGAGGGACAAAAACTTTTGGAACTGCCCAGTTCCTCTCTGACAAGTAGAAATTATTAACTCTTGAGAAATAAAACAGCTTTTCATAGCCACCTATTTGTAGAATGTGTTTCAGATTGTTCCTTTTGTTCTTTTTGTTGTCCCAACCAGTTTCTTAAGTTATTTTTCACATTCCTTTGTTTGAAAACCAAAGCTAGTGAAGTGTAAAATTTAAGCAAATATTCCAAATATAACTGAACATACTCATAGGATCAAAAGATGAGGTCATTCTACAGAATAAATAATCATAAGAAACCTCTCTTACCTCTCTTTTGTTACAAAGGTGATGAGCGGGGATCAGAATTGGGAAGATACTATGAAAAATATAAAACTGTGACGTAAAAAATTCTTCTAAACATATCTGAGTAAGATTTGAATTGAGACACTATCTTATATCCAAGGTAGCTTGAACTGTTTATTTTACAATAAATAAAAACATAAGAAACAATATTGACTCTGTCTTCTAAGTTACCCAAGGATCCCAAGGGGCTACAAACAATATAAAGAAAAGGGTGGAAAGTTCCTAATTGCAGTAAAACAAATTTCTCTTTCTCGTCTCTCTCTGTTCTCTGACTAGAAATGATAAAATATTTGCATGCAGTCTTAAGGTCACATTGTAGAATCAAAGAGCCAGCTTTATCAGAAAGTATTGCTGTTTTAGAAAATTTTAATTTAGAGCAGTGCCAACTCCCTGATTAATCCTGCTTTTGAAGCAATATTTTTTTTTCCTTTCCCTGTTTTATTACTCTTGGGATATTTGATTTTTTAATGGAGCTTACAGTTTTCCCAGTGAGCTGACTTGTCTGGTCAACTAGGCGCATTTTCAGCAAAGCCATGATTTGTGACTCTTTATACTTTTGCTGCCTGGGTGCCTTTAGGTATTTTTCTACTAGGAGAACTTAAAAATTGAAAATGACTGAGGATTTTAAATTAATGTTTGGGTCCAAGTAAGCAAAGTACAGTTACTGTTTGTTGTGGTTGCTGCTGTTAAAAATAATCTCAGCCTTGAGGAGCTGACATTTTGCAGATTAAATGCTCTGCCCAATAGCATAAAAGGCAACTTTATGTAAGAAAATGAAGAGTTATGTAGAAGATTTCACATTCCCCAAATCTTAACAATTGGGGAAAAGAATGTGGTTGTTACAACTATGATAAAAGATATTTTAAACATTAGAGTACATCAACTATTATTGTATCAATAGCAGATGTTTAAGGTTTTTAAAAAATACTTATTTTTTACAATACTTTTCTAAACCACAGATATGAGGCTTGAATAACTCACTATGATACAGTAATCCTAATACAGTTAGCAAGGAAGTTTCCACATTAGGAAATATTAGTCCTTAAATGGCATATAAGGCTTTGCATGGTCTCTATCCATCACTCCCTCTCCATCCGTATCTCCTACCAGTCTCCTCCTTGCTCACTCCCTTCCAGCCACTCTGGCCCCTTGCTATTCCTCCAACGCACTAGGCACACTCCCTCCTCAAGGCCTTTGCACTGGCTGTTTCTCTGCCTGGGAATCCCTTTCCTCAGATTCCTTATGGTTCTTTCCCTCATCTCAGTCAAGTCTTTGCTGATCTCTTACCTTTTCATTAAGAGTTATGAGGATGTCTGATAACACCATTGCTATTTAAATTTGTTGTGGAAGTTCTTGTTAATTCAATATGGCCAAAAAAAAAAAAAAAAAAAAAAAAATAAGAGATATAATTATCCAAAAAGTTGACACATAAATCTATTTCTCTTTTGTTTGTTTAGGCAAGTGCCATTATTAGATACCTAATAAACCCAAGAAAATCTACTAAGAAACTGTTAGAAATAAAAAGGAATTTAGTAAAGAGGCTAGCAACAAAATAAATACCAAAACCTATTTTAATTACCAAAACTAAATAGGAGAAAGCATGGAAAAGTTTGTATTCACAACAGCAAAAACAAAACAAACAACATACACAAATTACCTTAACAAGAAATATCTGAGACCCTAAGATTTTTATGAAAAAACTTCTACTGAGGAACATAAAAGGGGATCCAAATAAACAGAAAAATATGCTGTATTCTTGAATGTGATTCAGAGTTGTAAATATATCAATTGTTCCCAAATGACCACATGAAATTAGTATAATCTTCATTGAAACCCCAAAGACTTTTTTTAATTTGACAAAATGATTTTCAAATTTATCAACAAAAAAAACTGAAAAGAAT